CATGGGGTGACTCTGTGCCCCGTGCGACTTCTCCCGGGTCAAGGATATTCTTTGCTTTTTTCGAGATTTATATTATTTAAATATTTTGATATTAAAGATAGCAGCTTGGCACTCAACTTTACTTACGTTAGCGCCATCTATATAATTTGCAGAACACACTTACATCACTTAGGAAATACTTTTGCAGACCCCAACGCTTATATGGTAGGTAAATTAGTATTAAAACTTTGTATTAAAACTTACTATTTACTTGCTTTTAAGTATTTTTAAAGTATTTTTTATGTAGTATTTAAGTATTTTCTTGATATGTAAGTATTTTTAAGTATATATTTGTTTTTTTTTATAAATTTTGAATTAGTTCTTTTTATTTACTTATTGGTTTATATTAATTTGTCTAGTTCCTTTTTAGTTTCTTTTTAATTAATATGCATATTCGTGTCGGGGAGGTTTCTGTAAACAAGGGTTTCTAAAACGCATTGGTTTCTAAATTTTTCTGGAAATTTTAATTTTTTAAAAACGTTTAATTTAATACTAAACTTTACATTGCTTATTTCTCAATTTTGGTTTTGACTTTTACCCTTGCTTGCATGAATGACGAAACATGAATTGAATGATTGAAGAGTTAGGTTAGGAGGCAACTTTCCCTTGATAAGTCTGTCTCCTGCCTGCTCAACAGTTCAAAACAATACTTTTGAAATTATTTGAAATTTATTAATTATGAATTTAAATTTTTGGTTTCTGTGAAATATTAGTTCTAAATTTTTTAATATGTGTGTGTGTGTGTGTGTGTGTGTGTGTGTGTGTGTATATACACTCATGTCCAAAATTATGTTTACATGCATAAATTCACGGATTTCTCAGAGACTATGACTTATAATTTAATGAATTTTCGTGGAATCATACATAACATGATGACACATAAAAGCAAAAGAAAAATTTGAAGATCACCTCATATGATATAAAATTGTAGCATGAAACAATAAAAATAATAATAAAGTGTCACAAAGAGAGTTAAGAAAAAAAGGAATGGTTCAGAAAAAGAATTAAGTCTTACGAATTTAATATGGAATATGATCTCCCCTGACTTGTACACACATATCACAATGTGTTTTAAGGCTGGAAATAACGTTGTTAACCACAGTTTGGGGAATTAATCTCCACTCTTCAGGCAATGCCGTCTTCAGAGCATTTACATCTCTAGGAGGAGGATGTATACATGCAATTGCTCTTCCAAGGTAGTCTCATAAGTTCTCTATCGGGTTAAGGTCAGGAGAGTTTGGTGGCCAAGGTATTCGCTTAATGTCTTCACTTTCAAGGAATTCATCAACGAGGTTTGCTCGATGTGGACGGGCATTATCCTCCATAAATAAAAAGTCAGGTCCATATGCACCCCTGAAAAGTCTTACATAAGGATCTAAGACCTCATCTCGATATATCTGGCCTGTCACAGATCCGCTGCTGAACACGTGTAGGGGCGTACGTCCATCGATCATTATTCCACCCCATACCATCACACCTCCACTACCGAAACGGTCACGTTGCACAATGTTCAAGGGATCATTTCGTGTTCCTGACTCTCTCCAGATGTAAACACGTTTAGAATCACCAGTTAAACTAAACCGCGACTCATCAGTAAAGAGAACATGGGACCATTGATGTTCAGTCCAGTTTTGATGTTCTTTACACCAATTAAAGCGATCCCTCTCTTCCGATGAAGACAGTAAAATACATACCCTTGGCTTTCTGGCATAAAGGCCTTTTTCATTAAGCCCTCTATATATTGTTTGCCGTGATGCAACAGTTCCAGTGGCGGCTGCAAGCTCTGACTTAACCGGCGAGCAGTAGCCTTTCTGTTATGACGGGCAGTTAATGCCAGATACCGATCTTCAGAAGCAGTTGTCATTCGTTTCCGACCTTGTCCAGCCCTCCTTACAACACTTCCATCATTTTGAAACTGTTTCCATATCTTAGAGACTGTCTGTCTTGAAATATTCAGACATGTGGCTGTTTCCATGATTGACTGCCCTGCTTCTAAACGGCCGATAATTCGCCACTTTACAGATTCTTCCAAATGATACTTCGAAGCCATAACAAACCGCTTTGAGTCCCTACACACTGAAATCAAACGCTATGTTGCAGAAATTCACTCAAATATTCAGTTTGCGCAAAGCGCTTGATTCACCCTTGGATGACGTAACGCCTAGATTTGCATATCACAAACCATTTGATTACTTTTGATTGGATAATGCTAATTAGGCTTGGTTTTCACACATTCCCTGCAAATACGGATCACATTGATTCGATAATTCATTGAATATCATCATTTTTGGGCATGTAAAGATAATTTTGGACATGAGTGTATATATATATTTAAGCATAAAACTGCATTTCATATATATATATATATATATATATATAATGAATTCTGAGCTGGCTTGATTATTTTAAATAATTCCTACATAAATATTTTTTTGCTCTTGCTTACCTTTGTTTTATTTTTCTGAACTTTCTATTGCTCCTAAGTTTAATTAAAGTCTTGGAAGGAAAAAAGCATTATAATTTACAGATATGAAAGCTAGAGATATATACACTATTATCAGCTGTATACACTATCTACCAAAATTATTTGGACACCTGTGATATAGAAGAAAAACAAAATTTATTCATATTCAGTAGTGGTACAGCCTCCTTGAGTGGCAATTACAGACTCAATCCTCTGGGGGCATGCTTTCCCTAAGTCTTTTTATGACGGCTATTGGTATTTTCTACCACTTGCCTTTGAGAAGACATGTACGTTCCTTCATCGATTTTTGAATAATTTTTGCACCTCTTAATTCAACAGTACAACTCAACCCAGTGGTTCTTGATAGGGTTCAGATCTGGGCTCTGGGCATGCCAGTCCATTCAGTTAATGCCATTGTCACCATGCCAATCCACGGAGAACATCGCAAGATGACAGTTGGTGTTGTCATGTGAAAGCAACATATGTCCAACCCATAAAACTGGCACAACGTAGGAAGCGCACTGTCATCCAAAATAGCGCAGTAAGCATTGACGTTGAGCTTACCATGAATTTGGACAAAGGGTCTCAGTCCATATCGGCAGAAACACTCTCAGACCATAATTCCACCTCTGCCAAACTTTACTGTGGGCAGAATGCATTCTGGAAGAAGTCATTCTGCAGGCAGATGCCTGACTCAGACCCTGCCATCCAAACCGTATAGGGTGAACCTTGATTCTTCGCTCCAGAGAACCCATTTATACTTATCTGTGGCCCACTGTTAACATGCTTTGAACCAAATTAACTGAGCAGCATGTTTGGACTTTGTGGCCAAAGGCTTGTGGGTGGCAGTGTGACCATGAAAAACAAGCAGATATGTTTCTTTATGGATAACTTTCATCAAAGCAACAGTCCTGGGTGCCTGTTGAAACTTTTGGAGTATGTGGGCCATCATTTGGATGTGGTTCTTCCAAATTTCTCTGGACAGAACACATTAGTCTTTATCTCTCAGTTTCATGCGTCTGACAACTCGAGGCACATTCTGACAATCACAGCTTTCCTTCCACTTCTGAATCATGTAGGCCACTGTCAATTTTGGGTAATTCAGCTTGAGAGATCTGGATACACACAAGGTCGATCCTTAAGGATCGACCTTGTGTGATACCTGATGATTACACGTTTCCCGAAATCAGGTAACTTTGCACTTTGTGGGATTTTGCATGCAATAAATGCCAGTGTTGTTGTTTTCTACACAATATTTAACAACGGAGGGCATGATGTTTATCAGGACTACAGGTATCGACATTTCTATGGGTGTCTGAATACTTATTGGTAGATAGTGTATTTCTTATACATATTTGTTTGACACAATATAATTTTTTAAATACCAAAGAATAAGATGTTTTTTCCCATATGATGTCCTTCTGTAATCTGTACCTGTCATATACTTGCAGGTTAACATCTAAAAACTATATTAAGGCTTTTCATTTATCTCTTAACTTTTGTGATGAAAGAAAACATGTTAATTTAATTTTGCCAAAAAATATATGGTAATAGATTATGTAATAATCTTTCTTGTAGAACACCCCTAACATATAAACCATTATGTTAGCTCATCTTGCATGTAAGCATTTATTTTTCCTTGTAAAATATTTTAAAAGCTGCTATGTCATCTTATATATGAAATTGGCCACATATAGCATTTTGAGTATATTCACATTTTTTGCTCTCAGTTTTAAAGATTTTTCCTCATGATACTTTGGCATCATAGAAAATTGATATGAATTAATAAATGCTAAAATTAAACTCTAAGTTGTAAACATGCACAGAAAAACATGTTATAAAGCATTTATCAAGAAGGATTTGAATGCTTTTATATCATTACTTGAGAAACAGATTGATTAAAATGAAATGGATAGTGATAAGTAGATTTGTCTATTACTCAGTGCATGAAAACAGAAATAACCCCATGACGTATCATTATTTTTATATGTATAAAGAATGAGCAAAGCCATATTTAGTGAAGTCATATGAAGTAAAATCATATCGAGCACAAAGTCTGAGATTTGGACATTAAATAACCAGAATGTTCTATTATCTGGATCTCCTGGAAAACTTTTATTAAAAAAAAAAAAAAAAAAAAATTCTCAATATAGGATGGATTGGATTGGATTTTTTAATTACGGCAAAGCACACGAGGGCTATCTGCCTAAAGGGAGGGATGCCTTTGTGGAGGACTTTCTAAGGGAAACCGGCTCGTATACATGCTACACATGGGGAAAACCACAAAAATGCCCACGCAGCCAGCCCGTTCGCAGGATTCGAACCTCGGACCGAACTACCAGTGTTCAGCATCTTTACTGCTCGGCCGCTGGTGGGCCTCTCAATATAGGAATGAAGAATATAATGCTTAAGGAAAAGCAGGAGTGCCATAAGTTCAATTCTCCTGATTAACTGAGATTTCTTTACTGAGAAACACCATCATCCACTACGGTATTGAATGATCCTGCATATTGTTTTGTCTTTTAAACTTCTGCCAGCTAGTGAAGCTCATTTTTGCTTCTTAAGTGGTTGTGGGGAGGGGCTCACTTTTCTGTCTGATCCAGTCTTGTACATGGTAAGTAAAATTCTCAAGATATGTTTGTTCAGAGTGGAGTGTTGTTCGTACTGGTTTTCTTTTGTTGGTTTGGCATGGAAGAAGAAAGAAAGATTTCAATTAACTTGACTCAGCTAACAGTGTGCTTTTCCTTAACTTCTGATTTCATCAAGCTAATTATTTTGTTCAATTTATCATTATTGTTTATATTATCAGAATTAAAGTTTTAGTGAAAGATAACATCTCCATTCCTTGGAACTGTATATCCATCATTCAGCCACTGGATATAGGAATTTTGCACTCACTAAAATTCAGATATAAAGTAGCATTTTAAAAATTAATGCAGCACTAACACCATCCTAGAATCCACAAACAATCATTACAATTTTTTCCTATGGAGTTTTGTTAAAGATAAAGTGTTCTTGCCTTCACTAGTTCATTTCACTAGTACTTATAGTAACTGGAGCAGTAGATAACTGAAGTCCTCGAATCATTAAAGAAAGATATTCTATTTCATGTGTATTACAGCATTCTATTTCTATTTCATGTGTATCACAGGATATGGAATATTGCATAGGAATTTTCCATGTCGCTGAAGGGGCACACATAGAACATCTATAGAAACTTGGATAACTATGGTTTCGCTGTAAATTTGATAGATCAAAATAAAATAATTGCAGCATTCACATGTATTCTTTATTCTTGTCTCATTCAATGTGAAACACCCTGTAGGTGTAATCAGTGTTTCATTTCCTTTTCTCTTCAGCCTTCATCAAGATTTCTTAAACTTTGTTCATTTGCGACCCCTTTTTATTGCTGAGATTTTTTCGCGATCCCCAGGACCCCATAATATTTACAAAAATTTTGTGTGACCCTATAAGTATTGCGCAAATACGACACACACGAGTGAAACTGACAATTTTTTCACTTGTACTGTAATATACTATTGCAGTTTTAGGTCATTAACTTTAATTTCTAATTTTAAGACATAGAACAATGTGAAAATTTTAAATAAGTAACAGATGAAATGACAGCGTCATGTGCAAAGCAGGATAATGAACGTTTATAGTATAAAAAGAATGCGCCGAAACGTTTTCATTTTTTTCTTTGTCTGTATTGTCTTATCTTTATCTATTTTCAGATACATTATGTAAAAATATTTTGTAATCGTAAAATTATTATAATAAGTTAAAGAACTATCAAAACTGCTAACATTTTTGGTGATTCCCCTACTGCAGGTCGCAACCCACAATTTAAGAAATGTGGCCTACATCAACCACCCTCCTTTTCCAGTCACAGACTAATAATGTATGATAGTGAAAAGCAGCATCCACCTTTTCTTTAATCTTGGAAACTCTCTCATTTCAGTCAAACAACTCAATTCCAATGCTTTTGTTAACCACTGCATTTATTTATCATAAAATAATTTTTTCTGTTGCTCTGAACCCTAGTCTGGACAAAGAGATTTACAAGAAGTGTCTGAGAGGGACTACAGTAGGGTACCCAATGGCCCCCAAGGGGTTTCTAACTGTGCTGGTTGAAATTTCTACTAAACCTATTTTATTGAACTATTACATAACTGAAAGATAAATGAATGAACTACAAACAACTTTTATCATCCACAAGCAGTTTATTCTGGATTTGAAGAATCAGTCTTTTGCCAGATTGAGTTTCATAAGTAGTAGCAAACTTAATAAACAGCAGTTTTGCTATTGATTCATTTATATTTGTTTTGACTTCTGGAAATTTTAACATAATTAGCAGTTGACGTTATTAACCAGTGAGTTAAATAAGTAGCTGTTGCTGTATATCTGTATATAGTAATTAAATTATATTAAGTACTGAAATTATAACCTTTCAAAGTATAAAAATGCAAAAGGAAAAGCTGAGAATCTGTAAATACAATCTTAGAACTTTAGCAAAAGCCCATACCAGATGGCCAAAGTGTTAGACTGATCAGATTGAACTATTTTTGCTTTCATCAGGGTATGGGGAGAAATAATTTAGCCTCTCATTCTAATTATTTGATAGAACATATCAGTGCTTCAAATGCTATAAATTCAAATCAATTTCATAGCACCATCCCCCAAAAAATTGCATACATCGATCTGAACCCCCCCAAAAAGGGGAGACTAAAAACAAAAATACTAAAGGTTAAAAAAGAGACTTCCTTAAAAGATTATCAGTAAACTCCAAAAATGTAGTTAAAAAACATTAAATAAGAAATGACAAAGGCTGCAAGTGTAATAAAATTTTCAGTGTTTCAGATTGTGGTAGGGGCTGCTGTTATGCAATTATTTTGATTTATTATTATTATTATTATTTTTTTTTTGTTTGAAAATTGCATACATAGTATTAGAAGCATTGATCTGCTCTATTTTTTAATTAGAATGGGAAGTTGAATTACTTTTTTCCATTCCCTTGACAAGAGCAAAGATAATTCAAACTGACTGTTCTAGTATTTTGGCCTATGCTATTTCATTTTTGCCTAAGCTCTATTTTTGTTCTTTACTGGTTCTTAAGTTTGTCTTTTGCATTTTTGTTATACTTTGGATGGTTATAATTTTAGTTTGTTAAGTGCTTTATATAAAGTTTTAATAATAAATACTTTTTAAGAGCAGTTAGTGCATCTGGAGCAAAAATTGCATATGTTCCATCAGGAATTGTCCCATTAAAAAATTCATTAGACATTAGTCTAATGAATTTTCAACTTTGAACATTTTTGGTTGAAAATGAAGCATGGCAGAATGGTATAGAAGAGGATTTTTTTTTTTTTTGGCGAGACTATTTTTTTCAATCATTCTTTTTTGACCTTCTCTATTTGTTGCTGAATGAATTGTGGTAATTTTTCAGTATTTTTCTGACATTTTCACAAACGAGGTTTTTTTTTTTTTTTTTTTTTTAATATTTTAGAATTCAGTGTTACTGTTGTAAGTTATGAAATAATTTTTAATGGTTTCTAAATTTAGCTTAAAAATGCCATTCTTCTAAAAATGTTACTGTAACTTTCTAAATTTATAATTTCTTAATTATGCTGAGTAACAGAATTCTTGTGTATGGGAGGTAATATTTCTTAAGAACTAGAAAAAATAATTTTCTATATTTTGCTTTAGTCTTAAATCACACACAACTCTTATTTCTTAAAAAATTACAGATTTAACCTTATCTTTTTAAGTGCTTTTTCATTTATGTTAAATGCTTTTCTTTTATGTCTTTTCTTTTTCCAGTATGATTGGCAAGTTGATATTGAAACAGGAATATTAAAAGTCAGTCGTACAAAAGCAATTAGAAGAAAATTAATGATATTCGTTTCTAGGATATTTTTAGAAGCTTTTACTATGACTTTCTTAGCTGAATGGGGTGACCGATCTCAGTTGACTACAATTATTTTAGCTGCAAGAGAGGTAAAATATTAATGAATTCTATTAAAATGCAATCTTTTTTATGTATTTAAGTAGTAGCAAACTTTATAAATAGCAGTTTTGTTATTGATTCATTTATATCTAATTTGAAACATTCATGGTAATGTTTTCATAAAAAGAATAAACGAAGTGAAAGTTTTGTTATTTAAAAGAATTTACAAAAGTTTGATTGTTTATTACAAGGAATTTTTTTTTGGAGTGTTTCATTTAAAATTAATTTTTCTACGTAATCTTTATTTATGGTAACCTGCTGTTAAATTTTGGTGTAATTTAGTTGTGTTATGTATTTTAAGGATGCTGTTGGAGTTACCTTAGGTGCTGTAATAGGGCATGGAATATGTACTACAATTGCTGTGGTTGGGGGAAGAATTGTTGCACAGAGAATATCTGTGAGATCAGGTTTGTTATTTTATGTTTCAATAAATTTCTAACATTATTTTAGCCTAGAAAGTTGTTTGAGAAATGTAGAAAAAGAAGAATATTGAAATGTTTTAAGACCAAAAATAGAGAAATTTTAAACGCTTATGAGCATGAATCATTATGCACTTTAATTTCTTGAGAAAAGTAATTAGGGATTTTAAAACTCTTATTTTGTAATGGTAAACAGTATACCATATATACCTGTGTATAAGTCGATACCGCGTATAAGTCGACCCCCCCCACTTCGACATAAAAAATTTGTAGAAAATAAGAAACCTGCGTATAAGTCGACCCCCCACTTCCGAAATCGATCGAGAAACTTCAAAAAAATTTTTTTAAGTACTACATTTATTCAAAATCATCTGAGAAAATAAAGTAAATATACGAAAAAAAGTACCTTGGTAAATAAACAAAATCAAAATCCTTCAACGTCCGATTCATGATCAGATTCGCCCAAACATTTCATAGAACTCTTCTGTCGTCATTGGCTCGTCATCATACATATTTTCAGTCTCGAACTCTGTATTGTTACAATCACTACTAGAGCCTTCGTCGTCATTTTCACTTTCAAAAACAGCATCATCTTCCGTGCCGTTCTAGTTCGTTGCTAATACAACATTTTTTAAATGATTTTATAATCATTTCAGAGGGTATTTCGTTCCAAGCATCTTTAACCCACTGAGCAATTAATGTAATATCGGGCTTTTTAATGTTGCCTCCCTTTGTAAATGTTGGTCGACCGGAACTAATCCACTCTGCCCAATATTGGGAAAAAATTCTAACATTTACTTTGAAGGGTTTATTGAGGCAGACATCTAGGGGTTGAATGACGGATGTCAATCCTCGCGGAATTACGGCCTTTTTAACAGTCATAAAAGAAATTACTTCAAGTAAGTGACTTATTTGATAAGTCGTCCAATTTGAGTGCAGGAAGAAAACAACTGCATTATATAAGAAAATTTTTTGAACTTCCGATTCTTTTAATTTTTTATGGCCCCGCGTATAAGTTGACTCCCCCCACTTTGAAGTCTTTTTTTTTTTGTCCAAAATATCTCGACTTATACGCGGGTATATACGGTATATGATTTTCAAAATTCTGTTTCAGGTGTTAGGTATACCATAAGCTAACTGCTGTTATTCTGTCTGTTATGTCCATTATCCTAACAATAATACAATTAAATGGTCTGTAAAGAGTGAAATTTTGGAAAAATTTAAATAGAGATTCTGGTTGGTATGACCTGCAGGGATCCTAGTTGGTACCCCACACTTCTTCTGTTGAAGTAAAATCTACAGAATTGGTGGGCCTCTCCATCTGCTGGATTTCTTCTCCCTCAAGTTAAACGGTCACTAGTGCAGCATGAGGCAGACAAACATTACCATCTATTAGCTTATTACTGATTACACCTCTAAACATCTTGCCATACAAATTGAGAACCTCATTTTTGTGTGTTTCATCATTTATAATTATGCTGGTAAAAATGTGTCATCAGTATGGCCATTCAAAATGATGCAGACGTCTACTGATGCCTTTCACAAATGTATTATTGCATATTGCATGTATTTTGTTTCTTACAGATTGAAAGACTTATCTGAAAGCAGAGTAGAGTATATACAAAAGACTCATCAATAAGAAGAATTCAGCCCCAGTCCATGGTAGTTTATTCACAATAATCTCTGCACTGCTGCAGTCAGGCACATTTCACATCACATATTAGACATAAATTTCTTCCATACTGCCCTCTTTTATGCAACCTGTCACTCATGGTTTATCTGGATATCAAGTTCCTGTAGCTGCAGTTAACTGTAAGCAGCCTTGTAAACTAGGCTGATGTCAGTTGTGTATTTCTTTTAGCAATCATTGCCAAATAAAAGTCTTGAGAGTCTTTTGTGGCATAATTTCAACTTCATTTTACTTATCTGCACTCATCACCAGAGTCTGTAGGCTATTTCCAGATTCCTAACATGATGCTTTTGGCTGCTTTTAGGTTCTTTATGGATCTGCGTGTGTCTGGTCTGCTTGCATTCTTCCACATGCGGCTCTTGCAATCTATAGGATACTTTCTCAGTGACATGTTACACCATACACTTGTGAGAATTTTATTCAGCTATTTGAACAATTCTTGAAATTAAAATTTAAAGTATTCTCTTACATTTCTTTCCACATTTGCTGAGAAAAAAGGGGCAAAATTTGTATATTTCTGTGTAATGAAGATAAATCCCATTGGACTAATGTAGACTTAGTCGCATCACTAGAGTTGGTGTCACATGGTGAGGTAACTTTTGGTGTCACTCCCACAGATCTTAAATTGAAAGAGAAACTAAGTAAAAAAAGTAACATTTCAAGTTTAGCTTTTAATATATATTAAAATTGTTATATGTATATAAAGAAGAATTTAAATTATATAAAAAATAATTATTATAAATAGTTAAGAACATATAGACTACTGTTTTATTACCTAGTAAACATATTAAGTAATTCAGAACTTTCTTTTTCTAGCTTCCGTAAATGCAAAACTTTTGATCACTGCATCAAGATCAATGCTTTTTGCCAATTTATTTTCTTGGCAATATCAGAAAACCCTTACTGTTCCATGCTGGAATGTAAATAATTTTAAATAAATTTCAACTTTCAAAAACTCTTCATATGTAAAGCCACAGATATGAAGATCGCTAAAAATATTTGTATACTTAATGAAAGGATTGGAAGAGGTTGTAGAAACTTCCATTCATTTTTATAAAGTTCAAAATGTCAGTCGGTCCCCCATCTCTAGTTTCTTCCATATCAATCTTTGCTGTTTTAAGATGCCTTCTTGATTTTGGTATTTCTATTAAAAACTCTCTGTCTGATAGGTTATCATAGAAAGTGGTTAATTTTGTAACAGACATTTTAGTATGTTATATGTCTGGTTTACTATCAAGTATTATCCCAAAGTATGTTTCAGATTTGACATCTTTGATAAGTTTTTCCTTCACATGATTTACTAAAGACTGATAAACTCATTTTGAGTTTTTGGCGCTAGCTATGAGACTGCTGCTTATACCTACACATGCTGGTCTTTTAATCTCATTAATTTCAACACTGGATGTTATTAATTTCAATACTATATAAAAAGAAGTGTTCTTTTGTATGCAATTCATACAAATCTACAGTTTTATTCCTATCTTTAAGAAATTTTCCGTTCTTGATCCTCAAAACAAGAAGAAAGTCACTATCCACATAATATTTAAAAAAAAAAAAATCACCCACAGGATCCAGACTCATATAAATATAAATTTTGGGGGGATTTAATAAACTTTTGGTTAAAATTTTGCCGATCCAAAGATGATCCAAAGAAAATCCAAAGATGTAAAATAAATATGTTGCTACTCGGCAAATTGTTATATATTTGTTAATTTACAAATATTTTGCAAATTGTTATATTGTTATACATTGATAAGCAAATTTAGCAATTTAAAAGAAATATGTTACCACTGCCAAATTAAATATTTTTATCTTCGACATTGCAGTGTGTTGTCATTCAGCAAAGCATGAAATATTTAATTTTTCTTTCAAATGTTTTCTATTATAGTTTAACTACAGCAGCCACAACCATGAGCACAAATACACATGAGCCATTCGTACCAATTTATTCATGAAAGGTGGATGAACATGAGTCTTGTAGTAGAGAGTTTTTTCATTCTCTTTCCCCTATTTTTTAGGTATGTAAATATGAACCCGGAATTTGGCCATAGATGGCAGTAGCTGTCAGTGTAGTTACCTTCAAATCACATCATTGGTCTCATTTTATTTCTTTAACAGCTGGCAAAGATTTTCAACTCAAACAATACAAGTTTCATATAACAGCATAGTTTTTAATGGCATTGAACATGTCTAGTTTTGTGCCTACAAACTACGATTTGCAGACAGTATTAATTTTCTGTTACCTTTTGAAGAAAACTGCTGCAAAATCACATTGAACGCTTGTCGAAGTTTATGTTGGGCATCCTGCTTTAAATCACAGTGGTTTAAGAAATTCTAAAGTGGCAATTTTGATGTCAGAAATGAAAAATGTGGAAGACCGCTGAAAAAATTTGAAGACGGTGCATTGCAAATATTGTTGGATGAGGATGACACTGAAACCCAACAAGACTTGTTGATCAATTAAATGTAACACGAGAAGCTCCATTTGAAAGCCATGGAAAAGATCCAGAAGGTGGAAAAAATGAGTTCCACATGAATTAAATGAAAGACAGCAGGAACGAATAACCACATGCGAAATTCTGCTCTCCAGATACAAAAAAAGTAATTTCTCCATCGAATTATAACAGATGATGAAAAGTGGATATATTTCAAGAATCCTAAGCATAAAGCATCATGGGTAACTCCAGGCAAAGCGTCAACAATGATCACAAGGCCAAATTGCTATGGAAAAAATACAATGCTTCGTGTTTGGCCGGATCAGATGGGTGTGATGTATTATAAGCTGTTAAAACTTGGTGAAACCATTGATACTGATTGCTACCAACAGCATATGATTGCTTTGAATCAAGCATTGGGCGTAAAACGACCAGAATGTGAAGAAAGGCTGCTCAAACTGATTTGCTTCATGCTAATGCACCATCACACAGAGTAAAAACTGTCAAGGATATGATTGAGGTGTTCAGTTGGGAAATAACTTACGCATGTGGCTTACTCACCAGACTTGACTCTGTCAGACTATTATTTATTTCCATCGACAGGAAACACACTTGCGAAGCAGTATTTCACTTCTTATGAAAATGTACAAAAATGGCTTGATGACTGGTTTGACTCAAAAGAGCAACAGGTCTTTTGGCGTGGCATTCATAAATTGCTAGATAGATGGGGAAAATGTATAGTGATGAACAATATTTCGAATAAATATTTTTTATCATTTTTCATACAATAACTGTGCATTCTCTGTACAAAAATTCCGGTTTCATACTTACATGTGTGTTATTTTCACCGCATCAGAGACTTAAGGCAGAAAATTACTTTTAAGTAATCTGATAATATGCTGATCATTGTTTGTAATTAACTACTTAATTGCAATTTGTTCATTTATTTATTTACATATTGGTAAAAGTATGAAATTTTCAAAACTTAATTTTGCTGTGTGTTCATATTTTATGACAAAGTATAATGAATACTTATTATTATAAAATAATTATATTTTATTGTATAATTTTTCATTATTATATTAACCATTATAATGAATTCTAATATAATAGTTATAACTAATTATAACAACTAAATTGTAAACAATTATAAATAATTATTATAACTATGATTAATAATTATACATCTTTATCTTTGAGCTAAAAGGTATGTACGATACTTTGTGAAAAAAATAAATTTTATAATTATACTTAATATTATGATAATAAATTATTATTGTAGTTATTTAATCAATTGTAATAATTATATTATAAAAGAAAATTGTTATACAGTCAAAAGTCGTTAATCCGGACTCGTCGGGACTTCGGCGATTCCGTATTGATTTTTCCGGATTATAGATCATCAGTTTAAATCTCATAAGATGGCATGCAGAAATTCTAAAATTAAAAATATGAAACCGTAATTTATGAAATAAAGAACAATTATGATCTAAAGGGTATCAAAATTTACAAAAAAAAAAAAAAAAAAAAAAAAGAGCTTAATATTTATGTGTTTACTTTATTAAACATTTCTTTCAATGTAAGTTGTTTAAGTTGCTTCGTTTTATGTGATAATACTTTCTCTTAATTCTATAAACAGACATAATTTCTGTTCAGTTACAAAGTTCCGCTGTTCAAGCCCCGTTAATTGCTGAGCCGAGAATACCGACTAACTTGTCAATCAAAATTTTTTTCGTTTTCACTACCTCTCTGTCACATTCTTCATGTCTTTATCCATTTTTGCAGCAATTCCACTTTTTGTTGATGGACATCGAAACATACTTTCATTTTGTACGATCCTTTGGGAGCTCCAGAATCGGAAATTCTATTTGACATAATCGAAAGTTCAAGTTTACTTTTATAATATTGCTCTTACAGTCTGCAAAATATAATAAACTGGATACAATTCAAAGATTAAGGAACAACGCAATCATCAACATTAACTGAAATAGATAATTTTAGCTTATACCGTCCGTTATACATAAAATGCGCACGCGAAAACGTATTCTGCGCTTGTGCACAAGCATATGCGCAGTCGTAAAAGGTCTTACGTGCATGCGTAAACGCCTATGCGCATGTGTCAACGCGGCGCATGCGCAGAAAGTTTTTAGCTTTGAGGTCCAGATTATAGATCATTCTGGATTATGGGTGTCCGAATTAACGACTTTTGACTGTATTTCTTTTTAATTTTTATGCTAAGCGCGTATATGTGTTATGTTTTATATTTGAATGTTGGGGGTTGTGGAGAAAGAAACTTATTTTAGAAAAAGAACAAAAAAAAAATTGTGTGAAAGATCACAATATTGGCAAATGTCATTTGTAAATCAACTACACTTAGGGACCGGCTCAGTAGGGCTGGAAACCTGGTGATAATTTTTTTTTTTTTTAAACTACAAAAAGAATACACTTAGGGACCGGCTCAGTAGGTCTGGAAACCTGGTGATAATTTTTTTTTTTTTAAACTACAAAAAGAATACTTCTAAAAATATAGTTCCATTATTTTTAATGATCTTATTTTGAAAAGAAAACAATAAAATGTACACTATTCATTTGTAACTAAACAATTTAATGTACAGTATTCACTAATTATGTATTATGAAACAAATGTGTCAACAATTTTGGTTTCTAGGGTTGGTAAATCAATGCAAATCTTCGGTTTATATCTGCGAATATGAAACAAAGGCATGAAAGAGAACTGAAGATCAGAATCAGCCAATGACATGACTTTCCCTTCTTCGATAGTAAATTCCCTCTTTCTGGTGAACTGTGAACTTTCATATGACTCCTTCTCTCCGGCACATAATTAGCACCCCTTATGGATAATTCTAAGTGATTTGGCAGAATGCCTGCCAAGGCTGCATTTGTCATGGTCAGAATAAATTAATGAACTAAGTTATTTAAAAGAAATAAATGCTGATTTATTTAAATTATTCTTAATTATTAGCTGGAACCATGAAATTACACTAGTTAGATTCATTAAAATCATGCATATATATAAGGAAAAGGCTTCATTTGTGTGTAATTTATACAGATCTATAATTTTATTCCGATCTTGAATAAATTTTACACAACTGACCACCTCCCTCCCCCCCCAAAAAAAAAATAGAAAAAGAAAAAGCTCACCGTCTATTTAAGATTTAAAAAACCCATCACACTTGGGTCTACAATGAGAGTGTTTATATTAGGACATTTTATTTGTATTTTTTGAATAATTTTTTAGTTTGCATATTACTATGAACTGAAATTTGTGTTCTATCATATCATAGTTTTTCTGTGTTTACCACATGATGTGTATGTATTCAATTTATAACTGAAAAAGAATACTGAACTGTAACAGCAGTGTATGTTGTGAAGATTTTTTTTTAGTTGTAAATATATGAAAAAGTTATTATTTATAGAAAACTAGATATTAGATTTATGATAATGTTATGATATATATGAATTAATTATTAGATTTATGGTGTGTATGATTTATAAAAAAGTGGTATTAACATTAATCCATGCAGATATTGGCTAAAACTATGGAATACTGGTGGTTCATCCCATATTTTATTTTTAGTGACTAAATGGGGTAGTTGAGTGTGCCCACTATGTAAATGCTTAATATGAGCTGTTTTTCCTGAACATGTCTCTTCTAAGGCAAATAGCCTCATGTGCTTTGTCATAATTATGTAATCTAACTTAAGTAAAAAAATTAAGGCTGATCCTACTAAAATTTAGCATTCCGGGCCTGAAAGCAAAACAAAATGGCTTAGAGTTGCCAATTCTCCAGATGTAGACAGGAGACTTTTGATTTCTGATCATATTCCTGCCAACCTGATTTTCAGCATATTTCTCCATACTTTCTCTTAGCCTTAAAATTTCTCACAATTTTCTCACGAATGAAATTTGAATTTAACAAATATACTGTATTCATATAAAGCTAATATAAAATTAAAATTTAATTAAAAGGAAACCAAACTATTTGAACTAAATGTAGTTACATTTGAAAAACGTGAAATCAAACAAGGTAATTAGCGCTAAAAGCTGCTAAGTATAAACAAAATTGTTTCACAAGAATATAGTAAAATCTAAATTTAAGTACGTCTCTTGTACCATTGCTGCAAGGAATGAAATTTGAATTTAACAAATATTCTCTATTCGTATAAAGCTATTATCAAATTAAAATTTAATTAAAAGGAAACCAAACTATTTGAACTATTAAATGTAGTTACATTTGAAAGAAGTGAAATCAAACAAGGTAATTAGCACTAAAAGCTGCTAAGTATAAACAAAATTGTTTCACAAGAATATAGTAAAATCTAAATTTAAGTACGTCTCTTGCACCATTGCTGCAAGGAATGAAATTTGAATTTAACAAATATTCTCTATTCGTATAAAGCTAATATCAAATTAAAATTTAATTAAAAGGAAACCAAACTATTTGAACTAAATGTAGTTACATTTGAAAAAAGTGAAATCAAAGAAGGTAATTAGCACTAAAAACTGCTAAGTACAAACAAAATTGTTTCTTAAGAACATAATAAAGTTAAATTAAAATTTAAATAATTCTCTAGTGCCATTGCTGCAAGGAATGAAATTTGAATTTAACAAATATTCTCTTACCTTTCCAATTGCACTATTTGTATTTCTTTTTAGATGGTTCAAAGATGTCATGTGTGATCATCTTTCTTTATTAATAAGAAAAATTGGAACAGTATAATATGGATGATATTTTCATTATGTGAATGTGCTGTATGCACAAAGCATGATTTGAACATAGATAAAAAGTGTTATGTTTTGTAACATCTTCATTTAATCAGTATTAACAAAAATTATATTGAATTATATCCTGAGATTTCCTTTTTTTTTTTTTTCTTTTTAGTGACACTCATAGGTGGAGTTGTATTTTTAATCTTTGCGGTATGGGCTTTGGCTGCTGGACCTGGATCATGAAATCTAAACAGTTTCTATGCTGCTGCTAATTTATAGCTTTGTTTGAGTGTACAATTTGTGAATTCATGAAATCCTCACAATTTCAATATTTATTTTTTTAAGATATTCATCCGTTTTTACATTTGCATTGTAAAATTTGTACAGGAAAATAGTTTTCATTTCAACTTGTGCAAGTAAGTTTTTTGGGGAGAGGGAGGGTACCTAGTGCTTTTCCTTTTATCAGGAAAGGAATTCCTTTTATCAGGAATCATCTAGGAAATTACTAAAAATATCTACATTAATTGCAGAAACTCATGTAGTACATTAATATATTTTAAAACTATATTCTTAATATCAGAAATGTAAATAAATTAAAAAATATTAGAATTTTTTATGTCGGGAATTTGTGTGTAAAAAGTGGGATATCAGCTAGTGGTAGAAATAATGCTGTTAAGTGCAGCAATTTTATATGTATGTTTGAGGCACAATATTTGGGAGAAAGCAAAAATAAGACTGACCCTATTTCTAATAGTATGTATATGAACAATATAGATTTATTATTCACTAAAGTAAAGCTAAATTTGCATAAATAAAAATCATAGTGCATATGCTACATTGATTTTTCATAAAATATTAGTATTTAATATCAACCTATATAAATATCTGATAAATATACTTTTATACTTTTTTACAATTGTTATATCATTTCAAAAGCAAACTTGAAACTGTAAACATATTATTTAAAAATGTAGGTGGTATTCTTACTGTATATATTCAAATCTGCTTGTTGTAAAATTCATGAGTTCATAAATTTGCTATTTTCATGAAAGTAATGACTAAACTAAGGAAGTAATGTAATATATTTATAAGTATTGTCTTGTAAATAATGTTGTAATTATTCATTTAAAATGATTGTCTTATAAAAGAAATTTGTGACATTTCATTATTTAATAATTCATTATTTAACTATTTTGAAAAATTATTCATGAAACACAGATTATAGTATTTATTTATTTTAAATTGAAAATGTGAACTTAAGTAATGCAAGAAAAAATAGAAAATTTGTTTATGATGATGATTTAAATCTTTATAGTTCTTTTATTTTTTAATCATCACATTTATATATCATAATCATTATTGCTGGTCAAATATTATACAGTGTAACTTATGCATATTTTTATGATGATGAGAGAGTTTGATGGTACTTTGGTTTCCTATTCACGAGATGAATATAAAAATCTTGTTAGAATATTTTAGAAGTGTTTAATTTGTGTATCTGAGTTTTTGAATTAAAATTAATTCCCAACAATTTGCTATGGCCAAATTGGGAAGGGTGGAAAAAGTCGTCACAGTAAGTTGTATGTATACTGCATAAAGCTTAATTAATTTGCTTTAATTTCTAAATATACATTTTATGTATATTAAGAAGTTAAAACAAATTTTTAATAACTGAATTTTAATGGAAGAAGAATTTATTAAAAATTAAGGGTACTTAAATAAAATGGCATTAGTAATTTTATCCTTTATTATTTGATACTGTGAGAACTATATTATCTCCTTAAAGTGCTTCATTTAATTAAAAAAGTAATAATGGAACATTTTCTTTTTCATTGAAAAGAAGGTCCTGCATCTGTAGGTAGGTATGTGTGTAATTTGAATTTATTACAACTAACAATGTATGATCACAAAATGGTGGAACTATTTTAATTTATTGCTAATTTTTTATGTTTCTGCTATTTAATCATTGTAAAATTTAGACACTAGGGATCGAAGTAGCTACAGAATTAATGAAGTACACTGAATTTTTTTTGTTCCTAATGTTAAAACTTGAAAGTCTATTTCAAACCTTATATTTGGTTTATTCAAGCATTGAATATTATATCTAAATTAATTAAAAGTTAATTCTGCTTCACAGGCTTAAAATGGCAATAGCAGAAATTTTTAATTCAGCCTACCCATTAATAATGCAGTTTATGATATGGTGCAGGTTCAATAGATGCAGGTGTAATACGAAAGTATATGTATTCATAACAGTTTAAAATCCATTTGAAATGACAGGTCCAAGTATGGTCAACTCTCATGTGTACACACACTGGAAGCTAATTGGTAATTTGTATCTGATAAAAGTAATATGTGCATGTAATTTATGATTGCAAGAGTTGATTTTCACTGATGTAACTTTTTGTTCCCTTTACAATTTGAAAAATACATAATGAAAATACATATGAAAATTAGAGCTAAGTCTTGATATTGAATTTATAAATAAACTTCACTTTTTAATTGTTGATCATAAAAATGTAAATTTATATAAAGAAGATAATAAAAAGTGTTGGTAGAAGATTATATTAGAGCTTCAGATTGAAGTAAAATGCATTATTGATAATGTTCTTGATTAATATCATAATATAGATATAAAAAGAAACTATGTACTTTTATGTGTATTTCAATGGGTAAGAATAATTTCTGTGTTTTTTGTTGAAGATTTATTAACATAAATTTGAGTGATTCTTGAGAGAGGATGGATGAGTTTAAGTTGCATTTCGGGATCAAATGCTGATATTAATTAATTAATTAATTTTAATTTGGAATAAAGTTTTGAATGAAAGTGTGCATTTAATTTTTTTGTTCTGTTTTATTACAGGCATAAATAACCTTATTAAAATAGTACATTTATAGGCAGAAATCTGCTTGAAAATTTTCTAAAATCTGAAAACAAAAAAATATAGTAAGAGTTTATAAAAAGGGGCATGTCATATATTAAAATTTAAAAGAACATTTGGATTGAGCTTGTATTCCATTGTATATGTTATCTCATATATATCTATAAAAAGGGGCATGTCATGTATTGAAATTTAAAAGAACATTGTAGTCCATTGTATATGTATTTAATAGCTTACTTAAAAAGTACAGATTTCTCTCATTTTTTATTCTGCAAAATGTCTTTCATGTAGTATCATAAAAAATAATTTAAGTAATGTGTAGGAAATTTGTAAGGAAAAATAGAAGTACCTTTTTGTTAGCTTATACCTATGCATATTTTATTGCATCCTACACATATATTGAATTAAATTTTTTAACCATTATAATCCTAGATAGTATAGATAATGGTTTTTAACTGATCTGTGTAAAATTTGTTTCATGTATTTTCTGTAGGAACAATGACTGGATTTATTCCATTTTCTGTTGCAGTGATAGCATACTTAACATTTTTTAATCTCATATATGAATGCTATAATAGCAAGGAAAAGCCGGTGCTCTGTTGATGCATACTTTGATCCACATTGAAGAATTCTGACTGCGTAGTGTGCCAATATGTTGACTTGGTAATATCTAAAAAACTTGGCAGTCAAGGCAGTTTTAATTCCATTTTTATTTTTTACAGTTGACATATGTGGCCACAATTACTTGGCACTCTAGTTGTGCCTATTCAAGAACATATATATTTTTGATATTATAGCGATAGGAAGCGAGGACGAGAAAATTGCATCTTAGCAGCGTAGAGAGCAAAAGCAAAAGTTTTGGTTTGAGTTAAAATGTTTCAGTATCCTATTATTATGTCATCAGCCGTGCAAAATCAAATGATCTAGAAACTACGCAATCCAGAGAAGATATTACGATTTTAAGAAATGGGAAGAATTAGAGTTTTATTAAGAGAATTTTGTATTCTTTGCTGTCATCCTGAGGTGCAGGAAATAAACCACAAGGCTGAAGAATAAAAGCAGACAAATATTTTCTAATTTTGCATTATTAATGTTGATGTTTTGAAGAAATGTTCAAATATTAATTTTATTATTATTCATAATTTATAATTTTTATGTGTGTATAGTCTGGAGAAATATATGTAAATAATCTCTGAGATTCATAAATCAAATTGTAAAGTAAAATCAATTACAAGGTTATTCTATGGCACACATCTTTATCAAAATGTCGTATTAAATTAGGCATATTGTATTTTGTTCATATTCTGTACTTATTTATGAGAAATGCATTAAGTAATTGGGAGGATTAGAGATAGTTTTGGGGTCTATTATTGTGTGGCAGACACCTCTTTTTAAATTCATCTTTTGGAATCTTAAAAAATTGTGACCACGTGAGGATTACATTCTGTGAATTCTTAACCAAGAAAATGAATGTATAATGGGTATATTTTTTGAATTAATTTGAGTTTTATTGTATAGTTTATTTCATTCGATTTCTCTATTAAGAATAAAGTCGCATTTTAACAATAATTTATTGTAGTTGTTGCAAAAGATTCTAAATAATAATCGTGTAATAAATTAAAGTGAGTAAATTTAAATAATAGTTATGAGACTTAATAAAGATTTTTTAGGTAATTTTTTTTTTTTCCCCTTGAGAAAATAATCAACTCTCAATTATCTGAAGGCAGATTAACCAGATCCTGCATAAATATAAGTTAAATTTGTTTATTGTGGAATTATGGAAAATTTACTATCAAAATCAATGGAATGAAATAAAACTGTCTGCAGAAAATGTAAAAGGAAAAGAAAAGAATATGGAATAACAATGATAACATCATATTATAAATATATTTAAAAAACAAAACAAAACTATCAGTGAACTCAAATGCCAACTTGATATAGTGACTATCTATAAGTACCAGTAAGATATACAGACAGGAGTAGTTTTTGTGGACACTATAATGGACACAGTCCATTATAGTGTCCAGGTATTGTTTTTATCTATAATAGTATGTAACTGAAGTGTGCATAATCCTGAATATATAAGCCTAGTACTATTTAATAGAAAAATTTAAAGCATCCAACTTGCATGAATTTGATTTCAGTGACATTATTTAAGTCCTTTTATATGTATTTTTCTTTAATGCTATCTGTAACTTAATTTTCTTCATTACTAGAGATGTTTATTCTTCTGTTATTTATAGTGTGTTTTTTGCTTTTGTTTGGAATATAGATGTAATTTATGTAACCAAATGGATTTATTCTCCAGATTAAACTGCTTAAAAGTGCAGATAAATTGTAAATAGTATTTTTTTTTGTTAA